ATTAATCTTTCCCAAAATTAATTGTTTTTTTATCCTTTTTTAAATTATAAATTCTTTTCCAAGTTCTCGAAAAAGCTATGATTTAGATTTAACTACAAAATTTGAATGCACTTTGTGAAAACATATTATTATATCTCATTATTGTTATATGAAAATTAAAATATTTTATACTATTCAGTTCTAAAAATTCCAAATATTTTTATTCTTACGAAGCGAACACATGTTTCTTGGATTGTTTAGTTCACTTAATTTATATGTATGTATGCAAGTACGTATATATTCGTCTATGTATCAATAGAGCTCTCAATTCTTCTTGTTGTTGTTGATGATTCCGCTGTTCTGTTGATGATGACCTAATTTAGTAAATTTTTTTCTTCCATATATTTGTTTTAACTTTTCAACTCAGGCAGCATCTTATTGTAAGCGACCGACCTATGTATGTATGTAATATATAAATTTTTCAAAAAAGATTATTGTATGTAGGAAAATATTTAATTAAATTGATTGTTGTCATAATAATTCCGGACATTTTAATTAAATCTATAATATAACAAAATAAAATTGCAAACCTATATCTCGAAATTTCCTATAAAAAATTATTTATTTTAGCTTTATGATTAGAGTTTCATCGAGGTTAAACGGCACAGTGTCAGTTTCATATCTTTCAGAACTTCGATTTGTATTAAATATTAACATTATGTCATAATGAAGTCACCGATCTATCTATTCAAGTTATAGGTAATGAGAATTGTTCCCAAAAGTAAATATGTATATAAGTTAATTTTAGTTTTATCACAAAAACTCTTCACAAAAAAGTTATTAGAGTTTGAGTAAACAAATGTTTTTAAGATGACCATAAGTATATAAACCCTATCCTCCACTTAGAAAAGAAGGATAGCAGTAGTAATAGTTAGTATATACAGCGGATACTAAAATAAATTCAATATTGATGTTTGGTTTAGTTTTATTTACTTACCTAAACACTTTTATAAATAATAACAAAAAATCAGCTGTGTTTGTATAATGAGTTAAAGTCGATCGACTGTATTTATTTTAATAAATGTTCGATATTCACTGCTATAAAGCGTTCTGTAAAAAATTTTATTTCTTCATTTAGAAAATTAAAACTTCTTTGCATTGCAAGGACAGCGGGAAGGTATATGGCCGAGGTTAGCATACGAAATGTACCAAGAGTTATATATCAAAATGAAAAAATATTCATACTCCATTGCCTCTGTAACAAATTTTCTTTAGATGTCGTTCCTATTTTTTTTTGTTTGACTAATATTGATATCATATTGACTAACAAGAGGTTTTTTAATTAATATTACAAGTAAGTTTACTTATTTAAGGTGAGCATATAGATCGGAGCTAGTCATCTCCTTGCTGGTTGAAACGCCTCAAAAGGTCATTTGGTTTAAAGCGACATACGCAACTGTGTGTGACATCGCAAAGTAACGTCGGAATGGTGTTGTTTAAGTGTTGACTCAGCCTGTCATAATGTGTTTTAGCAGCCTTCTGTATTTCTTGCTTGACAATAGGTATTTCAAGGTCACGATGTATATCAGCATTTCGCACATTCCACGGAGCGATAATTGCATCCTTTGTTTTGGAACCTTTGCATCATATCTATTATATGTTTTTTGCACCATTCCAAATTTGGTCACCATAGAGCCATACCAGCTTGAAGACTTTTTTGTAAATCATAAGTATGTTTTGCTGAGATACCTTCCAATAAGCCAAATTAACTTTTTATATCTTATATTTAGCTCAGTTAATTATTTCTTGACGTGTACCTTCCATCTCAGTTTGGCATCTAAGCTCATGCACAGAGCTATGATTTTCTCTTTTGTTAGTAAAGTCTGCATGGTTAAATTTTGAACTATTTACTGTCAGTTTCAATTTATTTGTCCATTGTTCAATTTCTTGAAAAGCGATTTGTAGCTTGGTGGTAGACACCTTGTTGTTTGGACCTGTAGCCATTATTATCGTGTCATCTGTAAAAGTTCCGACAATACACTTTGGGTTCACTGGCAAATCATATGTGTACAGTAGGTACAGCAATGGGCCTAGTATACTCCCCGCGATGTATAGGATATACACGTCAAGTAGTTTAACTCAATAGTACCTTTCGCCAATATACGATTCCAGTAGTTTACAGTATTGCTGTGGTAGGATAGTGTTTCGCTTATATATCAGTTCAGAGTGCCAAACCCCGTCAAAACCCTTTCATATATCAAGAAACACAGCTTAACAAGTTTCCTTGTTTTCTAAAGCCTTTTCGATTTCATGCGTAACTCTGTGTACTTGCTCGATCGTTGAGTGTTTTTTCGAAATCCAAACTGACTTTTACAGATGAGCTTTTCAATTAATTTTCCTATGGCTGGCAGGAGAGAGATTGTTCTATATGAAGTAGGAGAATTGCATTCAGTAATGTGCATCAAACTTTTTAATTTATCTTCAATGTTATTTTCTGATTATTCTGTTTTCATTTTTAATTATTGTTAATGCAATTTAATAACAATTTTTTATTTTTTTTTTAAGAAATAAGGGTTTGGTTAGTTATTATAAAGTATTTGAGTTAAATATTGACATCTAGCAAGATGAGTCGCAAACCCAATTTGAAGCGACTCAATTTCTGATGAACTGATAAATCAGATTATTCATTACTTCAATCACTGATTCAGTAAATAGCCCATGAAGCACAGTTGATCTAAAGCACTCTTGCTTAGATCGATAAATGTTAAAGATGCTGATAACAAATTTCCCCTTTTCGCCTTCTTCACTGGCTGCCATTTCGACTTCTCGTAATATTGCAAGATAAATTAGTGGCAACCAGACTTAACGCTCTTACGCATTGGTCAAGAATTGACTTAGGACACGCGATCATACTCAATCAGTTTCAGCCCGTCCCTAAATCGATTGATTACAACTTCTCTAACCTAGAGCTCAACCGGGAGTTAGACTCTCTAATACCAAACAGGGTAGACTGGATCTTAAAAAAAGTGGCTACCCTTAACACGGTAGACATTTACACAAACGGCTCCAAAATAAATAATCAAATCGGCTGTGGCATATTCTCTAGAAAATTAGGTCTCAGCTTTTCGCTTCGACTTCTAAACTACCGCGGGGTTTTTAATCAGAAGTAATGATAATCCATTATGCAGTACAATGCGTTCTTGACAATCAAATCCCCGACAGTTCTATTTCAAATTTCTCAGATAGCCAAGCTGCCATTAAATCACTGATGGGCACTTCAGCCACATCAATTACCTATCACTCAAAATTGCTGAACTTCCTTAAATGACTTAGCTAGGCGTGTCAAGGTCCAACTCATATGGGTGGGTTTCGCGACATAGGAACACCTCGGGCAACTGCAGGGTAGACGAGTGTGTCACTTAAACAAAAAGACCTAAGCATAACTAAGTAATACCCATTGTTAGATATCTAATTTGATTTGGTCTAATTTAGATAAAAAAAAACCCACTAGTCAGATACTTCAGCAAAGGTAGACAAAGGCTGCTCAGCACCACGGTATCTGTGCTGAGAGGCTACTGCGACATAGGAAGGCATGTTATGAGGATGAGGAAGAGACCATGTTCCATCTCATGTGTCAGTGCTGGTCTTTAGCTAGGAGAAGATCAAAAGTTTTCGCCGCTCCTTTTCTTACCGACCTAACCGAGCTATCATCCTGTAATATTAGGGACTTAGCCAAACTCATAGAATTGTCAAGTTAGTTTTTTTTACCTAATGGGGAAGTCGTTACCTTTTTCGGTGTTGGTCGAATGTACGTACCAATACTATTCCTGTGGTACTACAATGGGCCATTATTTGCGCTCAAGTGGGCTCTAACTTACCTATGTGCAGTAGCCGACGTGATCTCCACATACTTACACTTATAGTGCATCGAACCATATTTAGATAAGAACCATATTTATATATACATTTATAGAAAAATTGCAGAAATTATATCAATGATGCATTATATTTGAAAATAGCTTAGATTAAATTATTTTTTTAGATTTTTTGCAAATGAAACTAAAACAGTTTTAAAAAATATCTTACATATCTTACATATGTATGTAATATGTATGTATGTATTTTGTATTTAATATTCATTTTTATATTTTAGTTGCGATTTTACTTAAGCCATGAACGTCACTACAGTATGTTACTGCAAATTTGGTTGATTTTATTTTGCTGACGTAAAGTATTTCTGTATGAACTTCCTATTAATTATTTGGTAATTAAAAACCTTGCCACAATTACAAAACAAAATAAAAATGTTGCCACACATTTTCATTTGCGGTGAGATAAAGACGCGTTTGGTTTTATGTTGAAAATGAAGCGAAATCATTGTTATAAGTGCTTGCTTGCCTCAAGGCCAGATGGAAGAAAAATAAAACTCAACACCTACCCACATATTTTCACTTGCTTCTTATCATAAACGCAAAGCGTTTTCTTGCATATATGTATGCACGTAGATATGTGTACGGGTATATGTGTGTATGTGCTTTAGAAATGTAAAATGAAATTGAAATTTGCATTCACATTTCAACCTCATCGAGCTTACCAAAGAAAAAATATGTATGAAAAAAAAAAAGAGTTCAAGGTCAACGGGCCAACAACAAAACCAAAGCGGCAACCACAAGTAAAAATATTGAAACAAAAACAAAACCAGTAGTACCAACAACAACAGTAATAATAACAAAAGCACTTCTGTATGAACTGTGCTAAATTGTTTTATAACAGAATAGACATGCTTGTTGGGGTGTGTGTATGTTTATAATTAAAATGTCTGTTCTGTTTAAGTAGAGCCCCACATAGGCAAATTTAGAAAGTATTTAGCATAAAATTTTACAATTTAATTAATAATGAAATTGTACAAATCCTTCAAATAACATAAGGTTTTCATTTTTCAGTATTAGTTATTATTATTAAGCTTCAGTTTTAAAATTCTTATTAAGTTTTTTGATGATTTTTTGTTGTGCCATATACAGGATGTGCCAATTAAACGGACCGATTCATCACAGTGGTGGGAATTATTTGATACAAATACGCAGCGTTTTTACTACTATAATGCTGCTACACAAAAGACTGTCTGGCATCGACCGAGCAAGTGTGACATCATTCCGCTAGCGAAATTGCAAACATTGAAACAGAACACTGATCCAAATGATCGCAAAGAGAGCAGCACACAAACCCAATCACCAAAAACCACAGCTGCAAATGCAAAACTGCGTGCATCACAACGAAACAGTGGTGGACGAGATGCAGCCGGTCATGTGTTGCCAACATATAAACGTGGTAGCGGTAATAGTTGTAGCAATGCTGGGGTATTGACCGTGCATGCTAGCTCAGAAGAGAAGCTTACATCTGAATTTATATCTAGTCCACGTGGGCGTCAGAGTTTTCGGTAAGTTCAGTAGAATTCACTTAATGAGTTAAGTCAACAAAAAGGGAATAATTACATTACTTTAATGGTTTTAGAATTGGGAGTAGTGGTGAGTCACGTTCAATTGACATGCAACAATTCTCAAGACGGTCACAAGGTGAAGTTCTCACTGTAATAACATATATACATAAATATGTTTAATTTGCATTTTCTTTATGCAGATTCGTGCAATCATTATAAGGAGTCGGGTAAATCAAGCGATTCCAGTTTATCTAGTTTGCATGGCTATCGGCGTATTAATGATGGTACTGCTAATGAAAGTTTACGCTTGGGCTCACTTCAAAAACATCGCGGTCGCAAAGAAGGCGGGTAAGTCTTTAAATCGTTTTTGTTATTATATTTACATACATAGGTAGGTTTTCTAAAAGTTTTTGGTTTTTGTTGCTTAAAATTTTATTTTGAAAATCTTTTGTGCTTACTTTTACTAATGCTTTATGCTTACATATCATCATTTTCCTTCTAACTCACTACTATTTCTTCACTATGGTTCCGTTTCGTTCTTAGCTTTGATATGTTGCAAGAGAGTGTAAGTTCGCACAATTTACCGCATGCATCATCTTTTGGTGGTAGCAGTAGTGTCGCTGTAGGTGACAAATATTACGAACATCAGCTTTTGCCAACACACATGCAAGGTTATTGCTCCTCTAAGTCATCTGATATAGCATCACCTACTCATTCAATACATACACCCCAGCCAAAGAAAAAAATCTCTCCAGATGCAGGCTCAATTCAGCAATACTCTTTCTCGCGTGCTGCTGCGTCACCAATTCAGAAGCAACAGCAGCAACAAACATCACAGCAGTTGCAACCGCATCATTCAAGAGTTAGTAGTAGTAGTGGCGGAGGTAAACCATCACAATATGGCTTGGATTTTGGAGGCGGTAGTAGAAGAAAATTATTTATTTTGTTTTGATTGTTTTCTTAATTACTAAATATTTTTTATGTTAATTTTGTTTTTAGAGCGTGATCGTGAGCAAAAAGTTTGTTTAGCACGCTCTGGCAGCTTTATGTCATCTTCAATTAATCCAGCTGCTGCTGGACATCATAGTAAATCGTACCGCAAATCAAGTGGTGATACTAATGGTGGAGCTGCAAGTGATGATTCAATGCATGAAAAATATTTTAAATCTGTTGAAAATACGCCACTATCAAGACGACGGCATACAACTACTGCAAAAGGTAGTGGAGGCGGTAGTGTTTTTGTTGGAGGTAGTAGTGTTAGCACAAATGGTAGTGGGAATCACAAAAAACACTCAAGTGACTCAAGTCCACAAAGTCCTATCAGTCCACATGTAATTCTAAACTTTGGCGTACTTTAAGGTGCTACTATAACAGTTAATATATTTTTCAGGTTAAAACAAAGCCTGCACAATCTTCTAATAATGTCATAAATAGTCATATATCATTTGCTGCGCCTGCTCATTCTCCTGGGCATTCCTCTAGTTCAGCTGGTCCTACAATAGCTTCTAGTCAAAGACATTTTAATGAAGAAACTCCTTGCAGTTTGGATTTGTTAAATTTGGATAAAATCTCTATAAATAAACCAACTTCACCACACTTAAGCGATGTGGTAGTTGTTTCGTCTTCACCAAATAATATTACATCTCTCAAAAATTTTCCCTCATCTGATAACATTGGAATGCTTACACATTCATCTCGAGGATCTAATGATTCACGTGGAAAACATAAATCATCCCTATCTAGAGCGCAAACGCACAACCAGGATATACGTGCTATGAGGCACAATACATCAAGTTTGGTGAGTATTCCGTAATCAAGCACAGTTTTTTTCTAATAAATTGTATATATATTAGGATAAACATAATCGGCATTCAAATGAACATTACTATGATAACAATAAGCGCGATAGACGTGAATCACGTAAGGGAAAACACAAACATAATCAACATTTAAATGTAGATAATAGCGATGTAGAATACGATAATGGCAACATATCTCCATTATACAGCAATTGGGATCAGGTATATAAAATCTAAAATAATAATAAATAAATAAAGTTGTAATAAAGTTGACAATGATTTAGATGTAATATTTTTGTACATATTTTACTTAGTCTAAAGTACTAGCGTTGGCTATTTTAACATTAAGAAGTCAATATTTTTTATGTTAAATTAATTGTCAATATTCACATTATTTATTAAGAAACGTTGTACAATATTTATATTGATAAATTTGTTATTAGGAAATGCAAGAGCATTTACTTCCACTTAAGCATTATATCATCGAGCAAGCTAAACTCTCTGGTCGTTACGTATTTGGAGATCCTATTGATTCTGACTCATACCATTCAGATACACAATCAGAGCATTCATTATCTGGACATGAACCAGATAACGAAGACTCAGATGGTTGCTCCGATACACATGGTGGTTATTTAGAACACAATTATGGCATGATCGAAGATTATGCAAATATGGGAGATAGTGTTTCATACTATGGGTATCAGTATCCTCCATATGATCCAACAGGGCGTGAAGACATGTAGGTATTCATTTACTTACCGCAGATATATATAAAATAATTGAAATACTTTTTTATGTTAAGTTCTGAAAATGTGGAGGCTGTTCTTGAAGGTATAGGCAGTGGTAACGATTTACCACTCAAACCAAAGCAAGGTTATCAAATCTCTTATGATAAAACAAATATATCACAAGCGCCATCATCTCCATTAAATAATCACACACAACTATATTCAAATACTCCACCATTTCTTCACAATCAGCCGCAACCTCCACCACATCAACAACTACACCAGGAAACAGATAATAAACAAAAACAATCGCAAACGCTGCCATCTCCAAATCGACAGATTTCACGCATTGCACAATCTGCTGTTGATGGTGTGAATATGCAACATTATCACAGAGATGATACAAATACCAGTGCTTCTATAGCGTCTAGTATGTCTCGTAATAAATATCCACCGCCTTCACTAAAACCAACCATACAACAAATATTTCCTCCAACAGAACGTGTACCACAAGGTCTAGGTGGTATACCAACACTGGCATGTATGAAAGAATGTGATATTGAAAAATTTGCTGCTGATAATTTGAATTTACACTCAAAGGGTATTTTTCGAAAAAAGGTTAGCTAAATTGTTGTCTTTGAAATTCAATTAAATTCAATTAAAATTTTTATTTGTATATAGTCTTCCGTACGCGATATGTTAAGTTGGACTGCGGAGGCCATAAGTCGTCCAATGTTGGCATTATCGCGGGATAAAGCTGAAAAAAAAATTGCAATTGAATTGTTCAAATTAGTGCAAATCTATATGGCCGATCGAAAGGCGCGTGCCGGTATGAGTTTGAATTCTGTTGCAATTGATATAATCGTATCATCTTTACCGCAACAACAGTAAGACTTTTATATTTAAAAAATCAACCACCAGTACATATAAATCGAATTTTTTAAATAGATTACGTGATGAATTATATGTGCAGCTTTGTCGTCAAACAACAGAAAACCCGAAACGGGAATCATTAATACGTGGTTGGGAATTAATGGCTATTTGTTTGTCTTTTGTTCCACCATCACCGACTTTTCAACCAACTTTACTCAAGTATTAAATACACATTCTTTACATATATCTTTATTATTAATATATGGTTGTTTTTAGCTATGTGAATCGCCATCGGGATCCATCGTTTGCAACGTCTTTTCCAGAAGTGGGAAAGTGGCCAATACATGTGCAAATTTCTCATTACGCTACTGTTTGCTGCCGACGTTTAGAACGAATTGGCAGTAATGGTAGACGACAAGCCAAAAAGCCAACAGAAGATGAAGTAGAGCAAGCGAGGGTAAACAAAATACAAAAAAATATTTGTACAAAAATTGAATTATATATGTAACAATTCTATATATATCTTAGAATCAAATTCTACGCAACAGTATGTTTGGTAACACATTGTCAGAGGTTATGGAATTACAAAAAGATAAATTTCAATTTAGAAAATTGCCTTGGATACAAACTACTTTATCTGAACATGTAATGTGATGGAATGCTCGGATAAAAATTTAGTTTTAATAATTATTTTAATTTTGGATAGGTATTATTGCTTAATGGCAAACAAACTGAAGGTATATTTCGAGTTTCAGCTGATGTGGATGAAGTAAATTGCTTGAAAAACCGTTTGGATCGATGGGAAGTTCCAGATTATAAAAATACAATGGGTATATGAATATAATACGACATAATTTAGTATAAATAAATAATTAGTTGTGCGATTTAATTTCAGTTGATGCTCATGCTCCTGCAAGTTTACTTAAATTATGGTATAGGGAATTATATGATCCTCTTATTCCTGATGAATTATACGAGGAATGTGTGAATACTGAAAACCCTGATAAAGCTAAGGAGATTGTAAATAAGTTGCCAGAATTAAATAAATTAGTATGCATTTTATTAATTACTTTGTAATACAGTTTTATCACAGTCAATTATTTATTTGTCTGTTTTTAGGTTTTAACTTATTTAATACATTTTTTGCAACAATTTTCGCATTCGGATGTTGTGAGTTGTACAAAAATGGATTCATCAAATCTGGCAATGGTATTTGCACCGAATTGTCTACGTTGTACTTCAGATGACCCCAAAGTGATTTTAGAAAATGCTCGCAAAGAAATGTCTTTTATGCGCACACTCATACAGCACATGGACACGACAAATGTGGCTAATTTAGTTTAAAGTTCATAATACAATTTATAATAATACAGACCCTTTTGTATTTTTAAAGTATGCCTCTTAAACTATTTTATTGTAGTACAGCATAAAAGGCGTATGTACGACAAATGTGGCTAATTTAGTTTAAAGTTAATAATACAATATATAATAACAAACCTTTTTGTATTTTTAAAGTATGCCTCTTAAACTATTTTATTGTGGTACAGTATAAAAGGCGTATGAATGTTACTAGATACATGTAAAAATATAAAATAGTTTAATATTAAATTAAAAAATAAACAAAATTTTATTATATTTAGTTATCGGTGATATATAAGTAAAGTAAGTAAATGATATAAAATACTCAATATCCTCAATCTTATCCTTTTTCAATACTATAAAAGTATTTCTTAACTAAATACAATGTAAACATAAAAAATTATAATAATATGCTTATTAATCTATAAACGTTTAAAAATAAAATTGCTAAAATATATATTGTATTTACTAACTATATTTGTATAATGATAAATAAACTTAAACCTATTACGTATATTACACATGTATGTACATTAATTAATTTTTCTTATTAATTCATTTGCTATAATTACTTAACTGAACGACTATAAATTAAGATAAACAGTGAGCAATAGAAATCAGTGAGAAATTATTTTAAGAACTTGAAATCTTTGCGATGCTAAACCTTTTTCTCTTAAAAACCTACTCATTTTAATTAAAAACATTGCATTACTAACAAAAACGTGCAAGCATTTAAACATACTTAATTATTTTATTATATATATATATATATACTCAAATGTATATATAGTTTTTATTAAGATTTTTTATATGTATGTTTATATGCTTGTTTTATGTACTGAAAATTTATTAAGTAATATAAAATGTTTAACAATAATGTATGTGCTAATTAAAAAAAATTAAATTATTTAAAAAACAATAAATTATGCTAATTTAACTATTGTATAACGGTAGTCTTACTAAATATGTTAAACAAATTTCAAAATTAACGTAACATATACATTCATATATACATATATGTTTATATGTTTTATTAAAACGAAAACAAATGAAGTTAATTATATATACATATATAAAAATACGCTCTGCTCTGAAACGAGGTCATGCAAAATAATAAAATATGGAATCAAAAATAAATTAGTTTTTGTTTTTTAATAAAATTGAAATGTTCATATGTTTGTAATTTTCCAAAAAGTAATTCTACACACTACAATCTGATATTTAAATAACGAGTCGAAATGATTTCCATTCATAATTTTTATTCATTACTTTTATATAATATATTTTGTTAAATTTTTATTTTGTTATACTTAATCCTAATATAAAATACACAATAATAAATATTAATATTTAACTTAATTATTTTTTTTTCAATAAATAATTATTATTCGGCATCACTATCATCCATTTCCTCATCTTCTTCATTTGAGATTGAAAGATCATTATCATCTACATCATTTAAGGAAGTTGTACCCCTACTGCTACTGCTGGTTATAACTGTTGTGCTACTAGTCCCATTCATTAAGTTTGCAGCAATTGTTGTACTTGTTCCAAGCGAACGTTTTGTTTGGTTGGCTCGTCGCCATTTTGCGCGTCTATTTTGGAACCAGGTTTTCACTTGACGGTCTGTAAGTTTCAATTGCAAAGCCAAGTGTCGACGTTCTTCAGGTGATAAATATTTTGAATTGGAAAAGCGATTTTCGAGATTTTTGGTTTGTTGGGATGTAAAACGTATCTGACCACCTTTACGTTTAACACCAAAGTTTTGTAAATAAAATCCTGGATATGCATTGCAATAAAGAGCAGCCGCGCTGTTATTGGAGAAACCTGTTGTTGAGTTAAAATTTTTTAGTAAATTTGTTTAAAGGCATATGTTTCTTTAATAGTTCTTTACTTTAAAAATAAGTGAACATGTTAGTTTTGGTTTCACAAAATCTATATAAAATATAAAAAATGTACGTGTAAAATAACATTTCATAATACTAAAAAAAGTTGCTATAAATTTTTTGTACACCAGCTAACAAACTTGGAGGAACTTTCAGTGAGTGTGGCTAGTCCAAAAATGTTATAAGATGAATCACAGTTATCAGTTTGTAAGATAACTGTCTCCAGATCTGAACCCATCGATATCATTTAAACAACGAATATTTTCTTCTATAGCAAACAAAAAAATACTAATTAAAATCGAATAGATTGAAAAACAAAAAAAAATTTTTTAAGGAAAACATGTATTTAAATTGTCAGTTTATATGCGAGTTATGTCTAAAATTAACTGATCAACTATTTTTTACACATTTTTTTTATTCTATAATACGTAATAAGGTTCCAAATTTGAAGAATATACAACAGAAAATATAAAGGTTTTTCTAACAAAAACATGTATCAGGATTTACAGTTTATACTCGTATGGCAGCTATACTTGCATTCTCTTATGTAAATATAAATATATAGTTTAAATTGGAACAAGCAGACGGGTAGGGGTAAATGAATTCAACACGTGTGGGGGCAGGAGTATATGGGGTTAAGCTAAAAGAGGATACATTTGCGAGTATGAGTCAAGCAAACTCAGTTTTTCAAGCCGAAGTACACGCATTTAAACTATGTCTAATGGAATATAAGGAGAAGCCCACAACCGTGAAAAACATATATATATTTTCTCTGACAGTAAATCGAGTGACTTTAAAATTAATATGGAAATGCCTTCAACTTCTTAAAGATTTTGCTGAAAGGGACAGGGTTTACTTAATATGTATCCCAGGACAAAGCGGATTTGAAGAAAACGAAAAAGCCGATGAACTAGCCTCATATTATATTGCGCCAAAAACATTTTGCGGTCCTTAACGGAGCTTTTTCAAACTTAAAATGAATGAATGGCTGGAAAAAGCAGCTTAGACTGAATGGGATAATACAATTGTCTGCAGACAAGCTAAAGAATTCATGCCGAATCGATCAAGAGCCAGAACTAGGGAACTACTAATGCTGGACAGAAAAGGCATCCGACTTGTCACAAGGTTTCTTATTGAACATTGCGAGTTAAAAAACATCTATCGAATCTAGGTATTACAAGATACGAAGCTGCGGACTTTGTCACGAAGAAGAGGAAACATATAACATACATATATTATATATAAATTAATATATATAATAATTTATATGAATTATTCAATATTTAATGTTAATTTATAAATTATTTATTAATTAATCAGTATAAAATAAATACATGTTTATGTACATATATTCCGTTTTCTTCTAATTTCTTTCGAGATAAATGGCAAAATTTGGAATTAAGTATGAGTAAACAATTGAATATTTCATTAATTTAATTTTGTTGTGAAAAAAACTTTTTTTATATACTTTGTAACCATTTTCCTATTCCAGGTGAGCAATAGTAAGGTCAGAACTCCAGCAGGATAGTAGTTATAACTTTTTTATTACATTACAGTGTTGGCGGTCGTATAATTTTTTTTTATTTATAAATAATTAAATGTAAAAGCTTTAGATTTCCTAACAGCAATTAAGATTTAGATGTCTCTGCATGAAAATACCATTCATTTAAATTTTCAGTCATTTGTACTGTTAGTGAAATGATTTGATAGTTTTCTTATTGACAGTACTTAGTAATTCCCGCCTATAATTTCCAAAAGAATGACAACTTTTCGAAGCAATTCCTGTACACTCGCCAATAATCATTGCCCTCAACGGCTTTTGTACAATATGGAAGAATGTATTTTTCATAACAAAAATACTTATTGGAACAGTTATCGGCAACTAATTACAATTGGTTGAAAACTGAATCTGATGTAGCTGAACCAGTAAAACATTTCAACTGACGTCTCCAAATGTCAGCCTGGGAATTCAGTGTACCGATTTCTAAAATTGATAGACAGGAAAATACTTTTGACATTAGATACCTAATCAAAGAAAAGCATAATATGAGAATACATTGACAGAAGAAGAGTTTCCCTGCGGATAAAACTTGCTTAAACAATTTATGTAAACTCGTTAAAATTCTTCTTATAAAGTACAAAAATAGTTGCACGTCCTTATACCTCCAAAACCTAAGTGCTTCAAGTGATACAAACTATTCCCTCTGTAAAGCCATAAAAAAGAATAACAGACCGATCGCTCATCAACCACTTATACGCAAGACCGACTACTCGTGGACAAGAAGCGACATGGAAAAAGCAGAGACATTCCCGAAAAGTCCAGAAAACGTCAAATCATATAGCCCAATAAGTATACTGTCAATCCTGACGAATGCTATGGAAATCTTGTGCCTAAAGTGTCTTATATCGATTATTCAATAAAACAGACTCATCCCTGATCATCAATTCGGTTTTCGCCAAAAACATAGCACAATAGAATAAATTCATTGACTTGTCAGACATATCCATACCGCAATAGATGGTAAGAAATATTGCATTGCGGTATTTATTTAGTTTTTAACCAGCACTATATCGAGTATGGCATGACAGCCTTCTATTAAAACTAAAACTGAAACTGCCCCTAAATTTTTTCATATTTATTAAGCATTAAGCATTTTCATTAAGTAGCATAATAAGATCAATGCTTTGTTTTTTGTATACCGCGGACATTCTCCTTACCGATGAGAGCGTAATCGGTACATTTGCAGACGACATAGCTGTTTTATCAGTTGACAGTCCCTCAATCCGTGCTTTTACCAAACTACAAACCAGCCTTAACAATGTTGTTCTCTAGATGAAAAATTAGCATATCAAACCAAATTAAACAAAATCTGTCCAGGTAATATTTACTACAAAACGTTCTATTTGTCCGCTTGTTTTAATAAACAATGCCCAATTACCGTAAGCTGTAGAAAGAAAATATTTGGCAATACATTTGGATAGTAAACTAATCTGAAGAAGACACATATTCAAAAAGCATAAAGCTTTGGTTCCTCAGTTGAAATTCCGAACTACCTATCATTTAATAATAAACCGCTAATATACAAAACTGTACTAAAACCCATATGGATCTATGGAGTCCAATTATGGGGCACTGCAGCAGACTCAAACCTGGAAATTATCCAGCGGTTCCAAACTAAAACACTACGCATGATCACAAATGCACCTTGGTATATAACAAATAAATCGTTGCATAAACAACTACGTGTTCCGACAATAAAGGAAGAAATATCTCGAATTTTAAAGAACTACGCTAATCACATTTCTTCTCGGGGATTGCCACCTTGACGTGGTGAGGAGGCTCAGTAGATACGAAGAATATTCGTGTGATGCCGGCGGTAGCTTGCTACTGGTAGGGCCTCCCTTGCCGGTAAGGACGAATGAGGAGTAATAAAGCTAAGCGCAGTCTGCAGAAGGCGTCTGTTCTCCAGGTTAGGTACCCGTACTATTACGGCAAATCCACCTGCTTCGGCAGCACGCACAATGGATTGGGAGGTGCGAAACTCACGTTTAAACAGAATCAATTCCTTAGGTATAACTGTAACCACAACTGTAATTTGGTGCCGATTTCACTCTCGTGCACGAAACGTAACTATAATTCAAACTTACGCTCCCAGTGAACTCGCCGAAAACAATGAAAAACTGACCTATTATAATCAGCTTTCGTCTATTATTCATAAAGCACATAAACGAGATACTTTAATTGTAATGGGTGACCTAAACGCCAAAATTGGTGCGAACAATACAAACATAGAACACATACTCGGAAAACATGGTCTGGTGGCCAGAAACGAAAACTGTGAACTCTTTATTGAAGTGTGCAATGACGCCAACCTTGTTATCGGGGGCTCCATTTTCTCTCACAAAGCCTGTCATAAGTCAACCTGGGTGTCACCCGACGGTCAAACTGAAAACCAGATTGACCACTTCTGTATAGGAAAAATGTGGAGGAGCAGCCTCTTGGACGTATGCGTCAAAAGAAGTGCCGATATCGAGAAACGAGTGAAGCTTCCTTGCAAGCGGGTCAAACGTTTTTGATATGACAATCTTGCAAGTAAAGCTGAAGCAGCAGCCGAACAGAGAAATATAAATATTTTATATGACGTCACCAGAGAGTTTGCAGGCAGAAGATTACGCCGAATAGGCCCTATACGAGACAAAAATGGACGACTTCTCACATCCGCCGATAACCAGCTTCAACGTTTCAGGGAACATTTTTCAGAAATTCTTTGTAACAATGCTATTACCAACACCGTCACACCGACAGAACAAAATAGATTCTCCAGCCTAAGCAACCTCAGTACGTCTGTTATGAATAGAGTACCTTATTAAGAAGAAATTATTCAAGCTATAGGCAGTTTAAAAAACAATAAGGCGGCTGGTCCAGATAATATCACTGCGGAACTGTTAAAATCTTGTCCTTCGACTACCGTTAAAATGTTTCAACCTCTCCTGAGAAGCATATGGGAAAACAATCGTCTTCCAAACGATTGGCTGGAAGGCTTGCTGACTGTATTACCAAAGAAAGGTGACCTGAGCCAATGCCGAAATTATAGAGGCATTATGTTGTTGTCGATTCCTTCGAAAATATTAACTCGTATTCTTCTGTCCCGCATCAACACTAAACTCGAAGCCAGTATTCGCAAACAACATGCAGGCTTTAGACTAAATCGTTCGTGTGGGCCAAATGAACACCCTCAGGATCATCGTCGAACAATCTGCAGAATGGCGGACAGCCATAAACATATTATTCATTGACTACAGCTGCGCTATAGACAGTGTCAATAGAGGCTGCATTCGGAATTCTCTCTTACAAAGGGGTATTTCCGGGGAAGTTGTTGACCTCATGAAAGCACAATATAACGACTCCTTTGCCACTACTTCAGGTATTTGCCACTGTCT